AATAATAATACTCATCACACTTTTCCAGTTCGCGCTGCTCGAGAACGTCCTTACCAGCATCTCGGACGAGTTCGAAGTCCTGCGCACCCACAGGCTCATGTTCTGCATCGGCACCGCCCTGGTCTGCTACGTCATCGGTCTCTCCTGCGTCACCTACGTACGTTTAGCATATGAGTTAATCGGAGACCATTGAATGATGCAAACTCTCTAGTTTGAAAAGCCTCTGCTCACAAGCCCTTTTTACCCTCTCGGTTGCAGGGAGGGAACTACGTGCTCACGCTCATGGACGTGTACGGCGGAGGGCTGGCCGTCCTCTTCATCGCCATCTGCGAGTGCTGCAGTCTCGTGTGGATTTATGGTAATGGCGGATGAGGTGTCGTCCCCTCGGCGGGACGCGCGCCCGCCGGTCTCCGCATCGAACGGCGCTCCGCCGACGGTTTTCTCACACTTAACGACACCGCGCCCGCGCGCCTTTTTATCATTTTTTCAGGGCTCCGCCGTTTGTGCGCCGACCTCGAGTTCATGCTGGGCTACAAACCGGGCTTCTACTGGCGGATTACCTGGGGCTTCTTCGCACCCATCATTTTGACTGTGAGTTTGAAACACGGCGATGGATTGCGCGTACTGCTCCCTTTGCTATCGGACGCGCTGACTCCGTGTGCTGCGCAGGTGATCTTCGTCTACTCGCTCGTGGACTACAAGCCCCTCAAGTACGAGGAGTACGACTACCCGGACTGGGCCGACGCGCTGGGCTGGATGCTGGCGCTGGCCTCCATGATCCAGATCCCCTTCTGGGGCGTGATACAGGTCTGCCGTCAGCCAGGCGCCACGTTCAAGGAGGTGAGTGAGTTGAGTGATTGAGTGAGTTGAGTGAAAGAGTCGAGTGGCCTGAGTGAGTCGAGTGAGTGCGCTCCTGGACGAGAGACCGTCATGTTGTGCTGTGCTTGCAGAGAGTTCTACAGGCCATTGTGCCCAACGAAGACTGGGGTCCGTCGGATCTGTCTCTAACGGAGGAGTACAAGGCCAGCCAGAAGGGCAGCAGTCCCACCACCATCACCCTCAACTCGGTCGTGCACCACAACGGTAAGCACATTGTGTGTCTTGTACTGAGTCGTGTCTGAAATCGAGACTGAAAAACAACCCCGACCCTTAATTGACGATTGTGTCGTTTAGAAATTGAAAAGCTGTAGATCATAGGTCTCGATAGAGATTCTTTGTAGGACATACACGTACCGAATTAGTTACAGTGAATTAATTGATTTTACTAATTCTTCAATGTATTGGTTAAAAAGTATTCGTGTGTATAGATCACACATTTTAGGATATTATTTTCTTCGTCGAGTTAGTTTAACATGATTACATAATACTATAGTGAGTGTAATATTGTGGATCCTTGTTTGCTTGGATAAATTCTCTCCAAATGTAACTTGCCTGTGAAGTTTTTAGGAAGGAAAGGGCCCGGACACCCGACACCCATGTCTGTCTTGAAGAAGACTTGTGTGAGGCGGTCTGCTTCTAGCGCCCGAGTGCATTTACATCGTATTCAACCCGTTGAACTATAGGTTCTATAGTGGGCTTGGGCTTTTATACCAGCAGTCTTTTATTTTATATTTTGTCGAAAGTCGCACTCTTACACGACTTGCTGGTGTGTCTGCTAGCAAAATAGTACACTTGAAGCTGTGTGTTAGTAGCATATGGAATACGGGCTTGTTTAGGAAAGCCCTGTTTGATGTTATATAGGGAGATAGTCATAGTGTTTAGTGTGCCTCACCGTTTAGGGCACTCGCAGAAGTCCTCGACAGCGGCTGTGTGTGTCATCATCGGCACGCTTAATAGCATTTCCATTGTGTCATTCATTCGTAGAGAAATCCATAATTAGTGAAAACTTAGCGAACGAAGTGTGAAGTGTACCAAGGCGGATAACAATCCCCGTTGGACTTTGTAGTCACATGCATGTGGATGGGTTGCCAAACCCTAACCGTTCACTCGAAGGCGCCATCGTTAAGAGACGGCGTGCACGCATGTATGCGGTTTAGTATATCTACGATATTCAAAGCAGGTTTTAACCAGCCGGTATTTGACGTCAACGCCAGTTTAGAAAACACGCTTTTCATATAACTTAAGACCATCATCATCAGTCATAGCCTCCTTTGGATTTGTGTTCGCTTTCACGCTTTCCACCCCCCTTCCCGAGCGCCCTTGCAGCGCATGGCTTGAGGTCTCACCTGCGCCTCGTTCTGTCCGCAGACCACCAGGCCTCGACGGAGACCAAGGCGCCGCCGTCCGAGACAACCAAACTCGCCGATGGGGTGGCGTAGGACCGTGGTGGACGTGGGCCGCCGGGCCCCGGCCAGGGTCTGACCGTGAGGGTTGTTCCAGGTCGTGACCTGTGAGACGCGCACCTCACGTTCTGTGTACTTTTGTGCAGAGAACAATGTGACGACGCACACGCTGCAGACGGCCACGACTCGGCTGCAGGGCGGGGTCTAGGAGCCCAACAGTTTAACGCTAGCGGGCGCGCCGACTCCCACCGCCGGCGCCGAGCAGCGTCTTCGGCCTGTTGAAACCACTACTGCGCATGTTTGGACTGGTTACATTTCTCGGGACGAGGAGGTGAGCAGGACTCGAGTGCTCTATAGTGGAGCTTAATTATTTGTTAATGAAATTAATTGTTGACACTTAATTGAATAGGTTTTATCGTTTCTTGAATTTATTACAATATTGCTATAGAGACTAACGTTTTTACCGCCATAAAGTGTGATAACCAGTGTCTGAGTACAAAAAATTGTGCTGTAAAGCACACGCGTAGCGTTGAAATGGAGGTACTAGGCTACCCATATTTTATCCCCCTCTTATGCCAAAAGACGGGGGATCAGACACCACTTTTCCGAACGACGGGAAAAAACTAACGTGTCACAAGTGATAAGTAAACTAAGTAATTCATGTTGACTCCGCAAGGAGATTAAGTAGGCCTATTATGGCCAAGTATTTCAATTGTTTATGTAAATGAAACATGTAAATGAATGTGTAGTTGTCTAAATATAATGCATTTAGTAGGGTTTACAAATGTATAAGATTGAAGTACTTGCTAGTATTACAATTATGCAGGGTACAGACAAAACCATGGGATTATTCTACTCCTACTTAGCCACATCGCCAGGTACTGCATTCCTTTCAAGTACGTCAGTGTGCTCGTCTAGAGCACATGACTTGCCAATTTCGGTGTTAAAACCATTGCGTCCGCATTCCCTTTCAGGGTAAATATTTTTGAAAAACTCCGGACTTTTGTAAATATTCCACCCCACCACCAAAAATATAATTATCCCATAATGTTCATGTTTGTACTGATGTAAATAGAAAATGATCGTATACCACACGTGTTATCAGTGCTTCGCGCTGGTGATATTACCGAAAACATCTAACTTTTGATTAGATGTTGCCTTAGGAATTGTTTTAGGTATGCAAATCGTAAAATTATACGTATTGCGTATGTCGTTAAGTTGATATCCATGTTGTTCTAGTGTGACTGAAAATTGAAAAGTATCAGATGGGAACAAAGTTCTCCATAAAAAAATTATTAGATTCATCGTATTTGCTTTGGATGGATGTGTCCTAGTCATATGTGCTCTGTTGCTATCATGTTCTTTGTCTCCCGTGGATGTGGATAAACCATTTCCGACATCTTTATTGACAACGAATTAGGATTTCACGACCGAGTTTTCGATTCCACGTTATGATATAACGTCATTACCTGTCTGTCTTTTTCGCTTGGATTGCAACATTTGAAGACACTTTGCTTTTCAGAAGCTGATTTGGTATGACTGTGCCAAAAGAGTAGCACTCGTTGTCGATCTATGCTTTGCTATATCCGCGTGGGTCTATGTTGGAGTCAGCGGTAGTGACTACAGACTCTATGCTGTTTCTTCTCTGGGGTCATCGACCTCGCGCCGACCATTATCATTTTCTGATTGGCGAGATCGTTTTGCCTATGTTATTCTACCTAACATTCTGACTGTAACTGTAATGCCTAATTTCTTCCCCTCTACACGCGGCTTCAAAAAATGCCCTTTCTCTTTCTATGAATGGTAGTCTTTTTACCATCCTTAACTGGTTATGCCATTGTAGCGTTAGACGAAATCATTTATCGGGCGTTAAATGTGCTCGGCGCTACCGAGGTACCCTCTACTTTCGAATTTTTCAAAACATTGTAATGTCATGGGAAGAATGAAATTGGCATTTTACATTTTTTGCAAAATTGGCGTTAAATATGTGCTTTTATTTGTTATGACAATACATGATATTTTTGTAAAAAGTTGTGTTTTGCAATCAGCCAAAGTTAAATCTGTGCCAGGCTAGGATAATGTGCACCATAGTCATGTAGCAAATTGGGTAGTCAATAACGCACAGAAAAAAAGAGTTCCTTATTCAGCTGAAATGCAAGTGGTGCACTTATCTTACGCAGAACTGTTTTAGCGTACAGCTAGAAAACGTATAACTTTTTTTCCGGTTGCTTTCGCGAAGAGAGGCTTGATGTGCGTATATTTCGTATTGAAGACAATATAAAGATGCTTTCCTCGAAGAAAAGTATTTACTTCGAGGTCTGCAAGGCCTACACAAGTGTAAAGTCGGTGATTTACGTAAATACAAAGAACTGAGACATATTTTTATACATGTAAATCTTTTTTCTTTCACTGGGGGCGCGTTAGAAGTCGAAAACATTTGACAATGTCACGTCATACGCCGACGGAGAGGGCAACAAAAAGGAAAAAAAAATCTGTTATTGATGGGTGGATGAAAGAACCCACTAGCTGCTCTATTCACCAACCCATTCAGTAGATAAACTCGTTCATTTTGTTTGTCAAGAAAAATCTTTTCAAACAAACAACCATTGTCTTGTGCAGGGACCTCATTTAGCCCTGATTTTACAATTCATTGGAAAATGATTGTATGTTGTCATTGTATTTTCGTCCGTTCTGCATACTAAAAATTTATTGGGTGTTATATTTGTTAGGGGTTTAAAGTTTTATCACCGGTTTGAAGCGGAATTAGCATTAAATTCGGGCTGCCTGCATCATGTTACCCCTGTTGTAGAAACAATATCGCGACAACCAGTCGTCTAATCATCTTTAAATGAGCGGTTATTTTTCAAAATGTGTTGCTAATTTTATGAGAGTAAAGAAAGGTGTGGTAGATTTCCATTGTAAAAAATTAGACACGTTTCGGTTGAACCCACGTAAGTGCGGTGGCATTAAATTCGAAGGTGTATTTCATATCTATTTGTGCCATTGCTAGTTGTGTGCAACTGTTACTACTTTACATACTGCATACGAACGAAAGATTAGAAATATGTTGTATGTGTATTCCGAGTAAATGATTTATTGTTGGCTGTCGTACGTTAGTATTAGGGTGCAAGTATGTTGCAAACAGCAACTGTACCAACAATATATAGTCAAATAGGAACTGCGTCATTCTGTGTTAAAATATACAAAGCAATTGTTATTTTTCAAGCGCAAAAGTACTTACATATATGGATGTGATGTAACTATTTTTAAACACAATCATCAAGTAGATGAGTGTGGTATAAAATTAACGTACATCTACCAACTAGATGATAATCGGTGAGTGAAGTTTCGTCATAGATGAACAGAGTGATTGTTGTAGCCGTACAAAACATTATTCCTGTGATTTTTATCGTAGAAAGCTCAAATTTATGTGACTTGTTTATTTCGCGCAAACGTATGCACGCAGACGCGTTGCGCGATCGCGATCCACAAAAGTGTTTCAAGCAGATCTATTGGTCCGTCAAAGCGGGCCACCTTTCCAACTTGCGTTTCAATTGTAGCAACAGAAACTGATTTGTTGCAAAATAAATTAATAGCAGGAGTGTGTTTATCGGAAGGAGATTTTTTGGAAAGTGTATTGTTGTGGGAAATGAGGCTTTTGTAATTTTCGCTCACAGTATATTTTAAAATTACGAACATCATAAATTGTATATTTGTATTGAACGAATTTTCTGTCAATAGAAGTCAATTTCGGCCGCATCTCATGCGGTACAGTAATGTACAGTCATCTCACGTGAGCTTCATAGTGATAATTAATATTCACATTGTATGTCATACGAAAATATCAGCCTCACGTCTTATGCACATTCTCTCGTTTTACTGTGGTTCATCTAGAACATTGTCTCCGAACCCATTGACATTATCCGAAGTTTAACCAGAGAAGATTGCTACTATGACAAGGAAGTATTTTCAGTAATGAATGTGTAAGTAAGTGATGACCCAAGATCCAGCGATCGCTTCAATTTCGCTTGGTCAGTGAACCCTGCTCTCTAGTTCAAATTAAACGTGTCAATCTAAAATATTATGGAGAGCAGTTTTAATTGATTCAATTATTATGTGATTGGTGGTGATCACATGGTGCGTCGTCATTCGTTTGGTTTTTGTTGAACAAGGGAGGGGCAGGCCACGGGCAGGCCCATACTGAGTAGGCAATAGTCATCTCTTTACAGTACTTTATAGCAATAAAATGGGAGATAGTGCAACAAACCGTGTATTCTCAAAATAAATATACTTTCAAATCACTCATTGTGTCACATATCATTCCGTCGCCAACAACCAAACATTTGACCGAGAAAAGTAGGGGGGGGGGGGGGAGCATCCCGTAGCAGAAGCATCCACCTCATCAGCAGCGTCTTGGTCGTCGTTGGAGTGAACTTCCGGCGAGTCACCCCGCCGCCTCGCCGGGCC